TAGATAGAATGGCAATTGACCTAGGCTACACTTCGCGCAATGCCCAAAACTTGCAATTGATTGATGTAGAAGAGAGGGAGTCCATAAATGCTGATCTTGAAATAAAACTCGGGAAGGAATACCGAGAACATTTCGGAAAGTAGCACCCCATCAAGCACAACAGTAGGGGGAAATATTGCACAAACAACCCCGCAAAAGATCTGCCGCTCCGTAAAGCCTCCCCAAGTGTCGCTACCGAAACTTTACGGTAGTGCTGAAGATTTACCAGAATACTGGGCAATCTTCGAAACACTTGTCCATAATAGCTCCGTATTGGACACTATGGAAGAGATACTCCTACTGAAGGAGAGTCTAGTGGGGAAAAGCTCAAAACTCGATCAAGGGCATAAGGCATAAGGTCCAGACAACTATAACTGGATTTTCGAAACCCTACACAAAAATTATCTCAACCGACCCGCAAACAGAGCGCAAATCGTTCAAAAGCTAATCAATATGAAGCCTGCTACTACACCAGCTGAAAGTTGCTCAGATGTATTCGATAACATTCAGGTGCTAGTGAACCAGATGATCTCCGCAGGACATGACGTGAGGAGAAAATGCGAGCCAATAAGGTATGAAATCATACCGGCAAAGTTTGCGCGGGACATTGTAAAGCCTGTTTTAATAAATAATCGATCAAATGACCAACAAACAATCGAGGACCTGGTGACCCACTTAAAGGAAGAAATCGGTGCGGTACAGTATATTGAGTGTAGGATAGGTCACGCTAATAAACCCAGCGGGGCTACTAAGGCTAATCATCCACGATCCCAATACAGCGAAGAGTGTATTTTCTGCCATAGGAGCAACCAATCATCACTTAGCTGTAGAACGATGACGGATCAAAGTCGTCGCCGAAAAGTAATAATGGAAGAGAATAGGTGTTGGAAGTGCTTTTCACCCAACCATAATAGTTTCGAATGCCAGGAAGCCAATTGCACGCGTTGTGGACAAAATCACCACGTTTTGTTGTGCGTCAAAAAAGGTCATACGGTAGAGGGACAAATCCATCTTTGGCACCCAAAACAAGTCAAAAACAGGAAGAATTTCCTTAGCCATAACCATAATCAGGGAATTGTCCGAAATGATCCTTTCCCTAGGCCTCACGGGAATCAACACAAAAGTCATTATAGGGCACAAACGAACCGAAGCGATTCCAGTAATTTTTCGAACGTTTTTTCGAACGTTAGCACCTATATGAGACTTGTTAAAACTGTCCCACAAGCCAGCGAGCAAAATCAGGCAAGTTCTCAGCTAGTTTTGATGACTGCTGAAGGGGATCTGTGGAATCACAGGAAGGAAAAGTACGGAAAAGTGCTTCTCCTATTCGACTCTGGCGCCCAAAGCACCGTTATAGAACAGCGAATCGCTGAGCAATTTAATTTGCCAAGGTCTACAACCGAGAT